GGGAGGGGGGGGTTTGGTTGCGAGGTCGGTGGTACCACTGTGATTCACCATGCTGTCATCAGAGGGACGGGGGCCCCTGAGTGGCCCTCTCTATTCCCACCTGAGAGGCCTGCAAATGGAGGGGCCGCGCTGTCATTATTTACAGCCCGCAGCTCCTAACCTTGGATTCGGAGCTCATCACGGCGAAGGGAAAATCAGATAGGACTTGACGTGTACCCGAGCCAGTGACCTTGATAAGTGTGAGGTGCCTGCAGCAAGAGGTTAGGGAAGAAGAGCCTGCTTCTGTCGGCTTCCGCTGTGGATTTGCGCGTGCGTTTGTACATGTTGTGTGTATTTCAGCCAGGTGGGGAGGGGTAATGGAGGGTAGGGGGTGGGGGGCACAGCTGAATGACTGAACCATGACTCAAGATGACACGCGGTAGTCCTGCTCATGGACCAAGATACAGCAGGCACATGTGGCATTATAACTGTTCATTTTGCCGGCGCCAGCGCTGAAAATATAAGTCAATTAATTGAGTAGACTATTGACAGAAAATCAGTTGACTGTTATTATGATTATAATTGGTTGATAGCTTTTCATTTATTAAGCAAAAAGCTGGTTGCGGATTCTGCTAAACTAATAGCACTCTAAATTTAATACTTTGGGGGTTTAGATCATGTTGGTCATACAAAACATGCAATTTGAAGATATCACCTTAGGCTATGCGGAATTATGATGGTGGGGGGGTTCATGGCGAAAACAAAGGTATTAATGGATAGTGAAAATAATCATTATTTGCAACCTGATGTTTTACCAGAAAAAAACCCACAACACCCTACCTGATTAGCTGTGTTTGTAAATTGGCAGCCGTGGTTTGAAAACACACCTGACTCTTGCTAAAAGTAATGATTTTTTTTTTTCTTTTTGATTATTTATTTATTTTTCCATCTGAACTAGTTACCTGGAGACCAGAAGGGGGGAGCACAAAATAGCAGGGGAGAGCATCTCTGGATGGGTGATGAAAATGCATTTTTCTTCCCCCACCAAGATGCTATTTGGTCGTGTGAAATGATTAATTTCACACATATACAGGTCATCCCCAAAAGCAGCAACATCTCATTCACAAGGGGCCCCCGTCAGCAACAAAACAGGAGGCTGCAATAAAATGAGCAAACAGCAGCACGTACTGTACGTCAATAAATCTTTGGAGGTTAAACCTGAGCGCTGTAGAATTTGAGCAGCCCCCCTCTCTCATCAGGTAAAAGTCACTGAGTACATCAGAACTGTCGAGACCAAAAAATGGCCGACAAGCAGTTCGGGGAGTGTCCTGTGGTAGCAGGTACACACTCACTCACACACAGAGAGTCTGTGTTTGCATAAGTAGGATGGAGCCTTGAATTATGGGGTTTGTGTAAATAAGGAGATGAGACTGTTTTTAGCACACAGGGAAGAGGGAGTGCTTGGATGAGAATAGTGCCTCTATGTGGAGTGGAATTGGTCTTGGGTTGTTTACGACAGCTCACAGCCCTCATATATCACAAGCAGTATGTTTGCTGTGAAGCTACAGTTTGTATGCCATCTGCCTTAGCTGAACTTGACCCTTCAAACAGACTTATATTTTGTAAACTGAGCTCACTGTAACTGCTGTTTTTTTATTTTCTCTTTCTTTAGTGGATGATCCAGAAACCCCACAAGGTGGCTACCTTCTTCGGGTGCATCGGTACCGACCGCTTCGGGGAGATCCTTAAGAAGAAGGCCGAAGAAGCCCACGTCGACGCACATTACTACGAGCAAAACGAGGAGCCTACCGGTACCTGTGCAGCCTGTATCACCGGGGACAATAGGTTAGCCACCTCTCAGTCACCCTTGACCGAGAAATGACCCTCTACTTCGGATTTGAAATAGTCCTTTTGGTTCATTTTCACATCCTCAGGCAGGCAGTTGACTCCTCGGGGCTGGAAGTCATAACAGGGAATCATAGCTCGGCTCACACATCAAAAGGAAAAAGAACAGCTTGAGTGTGTTTTTTCCAGGCCCCCACTCAGTCTCTGCCGCCCCAGTGGGTTGTCATCCATCTATAGGCTGACAGTAGCAATGTGTTAGAGATGGCTGGGCTATCCCAGCTCTCACCTGTCAGCCTTCTCGGCTGTAAAAGGGGCTTTAGCGTCTCTGGCGACTCTCACGCTAGCATCATCATCAGCACGTTTGAGACAGCAGAGGTCAAAGCCTGCACACACACACATACATATCGCTAACAGCGAGGGCTCCAGTTCATGATAGACCAAGTGTGGATCAATAAACTCCTTTTCTAAACACTGCCCTCCTCTGCAGCCCTTCATCCGCTGCTACTGGAGTTGTCAGTCAACGGCTGGACCTCAACCGCCCCGGGAACTGGCCCTGTTGAATGGTCTTAGTGGGCTTGTTTGATGTGGGCTCTGACACCTGAAAAGGTCAGGTGCCGTGCTCAGGGAGACGAGCCCTGTAATATTTCTTACAGGTGTTTAACAGACAGCTCAGGAGGCCAGAGGAAAGGTCGCCGGCAGGGCCAGATTGGAAGGAAGATGGCTTTGAAGGACTGGGAGCCAGTATGTCACAGCCCCCAGGCTTTGATTAGTGCAAGTCTTCAAAAAAAAAAATAAAAATATCCCTCCCTTACTCAATCTGACAATTTGAGCTGCAGACGGTGAAGATAGCCTATGTTGAAAAATCACATTGTAAGCGTTAGGAAACATGTTTATTCCATAATCAATGGTTCAATCAGTCTACTCCTCGAGGATCTGAGAGTTTTTGTGTCATAATTGGAGCCCAAAAAGACTTATTTTGCATCAGCTTTTTCACAAACAAATTTGTCTTTTTGTGAAAAATTGTTGTGAGAAATTTGGGATTGTTTAAAGAACATAATGAAAATCCCAATATGTAATGACTTCCAGTTAGAGTAAGAGCTGTTGCTAGCCTGTGCAGTTAGCTATGTGACGTTAAATTGGCCTCTGTAACTTGTATCCCCTGAACTGAGTCTTTAAGGTGACCTTAGTGTTTCCTACCGAACCATTTAGCACTGCCTTAAAGCTCCATAAACCAAATGGTTAGTTTTATGTGTTTATTAGAAGTACTTCAGTGTTGGCTAATTTTAATTAAATTGTCAACTTGATAATTATGTCAGCCTGAGAGGACCAGCCCGTAGGGAAACGGAGTCCGAATCACCATAGTTACACGATGCCTGATGCTGCCCACCATGCGAACGGTGTGTGAGCAGTTTCTTCTCAACTTGCATGAACAGACCCCTTCCTATAGCAGCAACCTCCTGTCATATGGTCGCCTAACAGTTTTCCCCCTAAGTAGCAATGATGGTTGCACTCATTTTGATGGCCGCTCATAAAGCGACGGCGCACGAGGACTGGCTAATGAGCTATGTTAAGATAATGCCACCTGCTTCACTTTCCAGCTCCCACCACTCACTACTCAACTCAAGTGTTCATTTAGTAATGCATTTCTGTTGTTTTTCCACCTTTTGTTAACAGTGGGCCACTTTTCCAGGTGATATGATAATATGAATAATTGTTGGCTTTGAAATTCAGCTGCTTATTTTGATCCCTCCTTTTTGGGTGTTGAAGACCCTTTTTTTTTTTTGAAAGGGAAAAAAATAAAGACTTCACCTTGGTTCAGACATTCTAAGAAAGCATTATCATCCTTTTATATCATGAAAGAACAAAGGAAAGTCTGGGGCCCGAGTGTTTTTAGGGATGTTTTTGAGACAAAATTAAGATGGATGATAAGCGAGGCAGAAGATTTATGGGGTCTGTCTCGGCAGGTCCCTTGTTGCTAACCTGGCAGCGGCAAACTGCTACAAAAAGGAAAAACACCTGGACTTGGACAGCAACTGGGAGCTGGTGGAGAAAGCCAAGGTCTATTATATTGCGGTAAGTGAGACCCTCTACATTCAAAATGACTGTTCCCCAACTCTATTGCCAGAAGAGGACCAAATGTTAAGAGGCTTTATTCAGGAAATGCCTCAGCGTGCCTTGTGCATTGTCAATATAACTATTCATCCTTTGTCGAGTGAAATGAGCTATGTTACCTATTGAGACAATACAGCTCCATTCTCTCTATTTTATCCTCGTCTTTGTGCGCGAAGCTGCAGCACAGTGTGAAATTGTTCTACATGTAATGCATTCATTCATTTCTTCTAACGTGAAGACAAGCCAACAGGTGCTGTGAAAGTGTGGAAATTGATTATTCAAGTTCATTCTGCTTTACCCCCTCCTACACAATCTTCCCCTTACAGACAAAACACACACACAGACACAGACACAGATTGAGGAGGACAGATGTGCCCTTAGACATTCACACACACTCAAGCTGCACCACTGAGGTAATGTCTTCACTTACAGCTTCTAGAGTAGGATGGCCTGCCATGCTCGTGTTTCACTGTTTGGGATTACATTTAATTCTTGCAGATCAACATTTTCTCTGATCTCGAGTCAAGATGATAGCCCTGAAATTGCGCTGCATTCCACGTCTTTAAGCAGTTCATTATCGGCATAAATCAGAATTACAGCCTAGCCATCAACATACCCCTTGGAATATTGTCCCAAGTGAAATTCACAATGCTCCCTCTGTTACCCACAAGCCCTCTAAACATAAGTGTACTGTAGTCAAATAATGACAGAGGTTTCATAATTAGCCGCACCATCGCAGAAACAAACACCCAAAAAGAAAAAAGAAAAGGCATTCAGTGCTTGTGCCAGAAAGCAGATCAGTCAGTCCATCCTCCAGAGTTTGTGTGGTCTCATTTTTAGCCTCTGCTTCGCATTAGCAAACACGGCACATCCTCTGCAAATTGGCAGTTGGGTTTTGCCCACATCCGACAGTCTTGTGCGCAGGGAAAAGCTTCCGTGGGATTTGAGGGGGGATAGAAGGGCCACAAATGGGTGTTTGTCAGTGCTTGGAATCTCAAACGTCGTTTCCAGCGTCCCTCCTGGGCCTCTTTGTCAAAACAGGGGGATCATTCGCTTTATTAGAGTCCCATTCGCACTTCTAAAGTACTTAGCCAGATACACTGCCACAGCTATTCCCACTTAATACTGTGTGGCGTGTCTAGACCGGTGTTCACTAAGGCCTCCTCTCTCCATTAACCTTGTCGAGAGCACTCAGATGTATTTACCCAATTTACAGCCAGATTGTACATTTTCTCCCTCTCTTTCTCTCTCACTGTACAAACCTCTGCTGCGTATTAATGTGCTTTGTTGATTTTCATTGAACGACTGCTGGGCGGTATACACAGAGTCTTGTACACTCTAATCTGTAAATGTAATTACCGAAAAAGGAAAAAAAAGGCGCATGTGTGTATGTTAGCATGTTATTTGCTCGCACGTGCGTCTGTTTGTTGGAGCATGTGTGTTAAAGAGGTGATTGATGATTCCTGGCAGAGGCTCTCAAGGTGCCTGCTACTATGTGGTGTGATTGGATGAAAACAGAATTATTAGAGGGCTCTTGCAGCCAGTCTGGCTCATCCAGTAGCAGCGGCGGCGGCAGCAGCAGCAGGGCTGGTGGCAGACGCAGAGCAGGGAGGCAGCACTGCCATTTCTCACAAAGAGAGAGAATGTTGAACTCCTGCCAAATGTTTGGTGGCAGGCTGTTGCTAGGAAATCTGGGTCCTTAGGCAAATCATTGCACAAAGACCAATAACAAAGGCGTGAGGGGGAAGAAGGAATGGCTAAACGCATTTCAGGCAGAGGATATCTCGTTTTTTTTTTTGTTGTTGAATGCCATCGCTGCTGCAGTGATGTTTACAGTTATTTCTTTCCCCGACGATTGTAAACATCAGAAATGGAGGGTGATGTATTGTG